ATGTGACCTCTGCTTTTAACCCATCACCAAAGTGGACAGTGGGCAGCTTTAAGCACCCGGGGGAGAAGTGTGTGGGCATGGTGCCATGCTCAGAGCACCTCAGTGGTAACTTGGCAGCTGGTGGACTCAAACCTGAAGTCTTCCGGACACACAAAGCCACCACTGCCGCCCCCCCCCCCTTTTTTTTTACTAAATTTGTTTTCATTTTGTTTGGTTATAAAATAGTGTTATCATATGTGTTCAGTCTCCAACTCTAATTCTAACTAATTTCCCCAATTCCTTTTAACAATTTTGACCATATTCAAATCGACATAGATGCTAAAATCTTCTTTTTAAAATAAATGTGTTTAATGACTTTGTTTATTAAATGGCCTTTTAAACAAACTGAATCTACTTCATTTATTCCTACCACTGTTATGTCAAACATGAGCTCCGTTGCACACTGTTGCTAACATCTGACTTTTTTATGTTTTCTGCGTATTTGCTGACCTGCTGACTTGCATCTGTTGCGCCTTTTCCCATAGGAAATACATTGGGAGAATTTCATTTTTCAAAACCACAAATACTCAGAGATGTTGTCCACACTTCCAAACACAGTTCCATTATGTCACAATTGCTTTTCAACTTCAATAAAACGGTGAGGTTCATTTCTTTCTGAATTATTTTGTTTTTTTTATATACTTATCCTGTGTATTTTTTTTCCATTTTATTGTCTTTTTTCTCATCTTTTATTTTTCTTCACACTCTATTTGTCCTTTGACCTTTTCAGTTCTTTTTAACCTCCCTGAGCGTTTTGTTCTTGTTGCCTCAGGTCACCTAGATCACAACTTATTTGCTATTTCTCAAATTTTACATAACCATCTCCAAATGTGTTTTCTTGGCGGGGCAGAGGGGGCTTTTTTTCCTGTCTGATTTCCCAGACCTTCATCCTGTATTTGCCTGTGCACTCGGCTCTTTAATGACAAAACAGCTGGTGGCACTTAAATTACAAAGCAGAACGACCTTCCCTTGTGAGACCATCTGTGACAAAGAGGAATTACTCTGGATACAAAACCTGTTAGGTGAAATGTTGCTTTGCTGTGGTTATTCAGATCAGCACTCAGACGATGGCTTCTTCTTCCTGAGGTGAACCACTCTGTCTTACAACCCTGATTTGTTTCCTCTCCGACAGTGGAAGGAGGTATCGATCGG